TGAATTCTGTAATAACTGTAGATTTGAGATACTCTTTTTGGGAAGAGTAGAAGAGCAGGGCATTACAATAATCTAACCTACAGGAGATAAAAGCATGCATCAGCACCTCCGTGCTGGCCTGAGAGAGAAACGGGCGGACTCTGGCTATATTCTTAAGGTGGTAGAAACCTGCCTTTGTTATGTTTTTAATATGTGGAATAAAACAGAGCTCAGAGTCAAGAATCACACCCAGATTTTTTACAGATTGTGTTGGTTTAAAATCCTGTAGTTTTGGTAAAAGTTTCTCTCTCTGGCCTTCACTACAGTTAAATCATTCCACACCATGGATTGCCAGAACCATCCGAAAGTGTGGACAGTTATTAAGCAGCAGTTTTTCTCTTTGTGTCCACAGGCAGAACGTGATCCGCCCGATGGGGGTCAGGCCTGATGGGACGTTAGCCCCTCTCGAAGAAACACTCTGTGATCCACCCGAGGACTCTGGATCAGACTCTGATTAGTGCACTGCACATTTAGGCCACATTTTCCAGGCGAAGCCCACTTGGCCCGTACACATCTGGAGCTGTGTCCCATTTGAAGGTCTGGATCCTTTGAAGGAAGGTGTCCATGAAGATGGGTCCTTTAGAGGAGTTTAAAGATGGCTGAACCTGTTTACGGTAACTGAGCAGAGGTAGCAATGGTCAGTCAGTAGATACACGCGCTGTACTGATACCTCCCAATAACTCATACTCCATTAACTTAAACTTAAATTGGTAGATATAAGCACAGTGTGTGGATCTAGAGTCAGGACCAGTCTCACTGACACTCAAACTAATGCTGGAATTTAGGATCCGGTTTTTAACTCGTACTACCAGGAAGTTGCCCTTCAAATGCAGCACAACTGGCAAGTAGCGTATCAGGTTAATGGTAAAGGTATCCACGTAACGTCTATTCATCTGTACGTTTATGCCAGGTCTACTTATACAACATGTTGGCTTGTTATAATGTATTTAGTCTGTCATCATGTTTGTTGTGTTCACACTGATGCAGAAGTGCACTTTGAGTTGTCATGTTCACACCAGAAGCGCATTTCTCAGCACCGGTCAGCAAGCAAATTGCGAATCTGCTCTTTTCTAATTACACATAAATCTCTCTGTCTGCTTGTGTGTGTGTCTGATCGTCTCTCTCGCTCTCTGTTCAGACACAACTGACAAATATGTGAAGTAAGTGAGCATGAGTTGTATATTATATAATTAGTAAGTATCAGATCTTTTATATTATATCTAATATATCCTTTATATTGTTCATACTAGATTATCAGTGTGTTTTCTTACCAGATTTGCTTGCAGAAAAAAATAGACCAGATGCCCTAAACTATCGCTGCAGATCGCATGCTGGCTGTGGTGCTCGGGGCCACAGTGCATCTTGTGTGAACAGCTTAATCGCTGAACATAAGCACGGAAAGAAAGGGGGCAGCACTCCACAGAAAATCGCTGTGCTTCCGCATCCAGTGTGAACCTGGCGTACGGTTGTCAGAAGTATAAATACTGTAATACTTTATCGATAGCAAGTGTTTCAAACAATACGATCTCCGTTAATTACACATTTGATAGTATCAAAATTAGCAAAGTGACAAAAAACAGATCTACAATCAGGTTTTCAATCCAAGGTTATGAAAAAAAGAAAAAAAATATCCTAGTTTATGAGCTTTTTGTCATTTTGCTGTGGTATCAAAAGAGGCATTGAGTGTCATTTTTTTATACTGGAATCAAAGTTCAAATCCTGGTATCACGATATTAACTCAGTCTAGAAATATGACTTCTGGTGATCCAGCCCTGAACTGGGACACAGCTCATCATGAGGCCCTGTCACAGCAGTGAGACGTTCACCACCACAGTGGAAGTGGACTTGATGCACGGCTGAAAGACTCAACAAACAGTGGCATCGTAATGCGTAGGAGGCCTCCATGGTTACTGTTGCACCTTCCTCATTTACTTTACCGCTCCTTGAGTTTAAGAAAAAAAAAAAAAAAGAAAGAAATAGAGGTAATAATATAATTCTTTGCTGGATCATGTGTATCTCACTGAAAGCACTGTTATTATAGTTTGTTCAAAGTGTCATTGGGTCTGAATAATCATTCCTTCACCTCTGCTTTTTGTTTTACACTTTTTTTATGTTTATCTGATTTTGTTTTTCTCTGCGACATGATGATTTTGTATATCTAGATGATTCAAGTGCACATTACACACACACACACACACACACACACACACACACACACACACACATTTAAACATAAAATCATTGAAAACTGTTGGTTTAAAATCATGGGGCCTGTCCAAGATGGACCACAGGATTGATGTATATTTAGAAATGGGGCCGTGTCGGTGTGTGATAGATTTAATTTGCTCACAGTGAGTCTGTGTTTGGTTGTGTAATTATCATGAATGTTGCACACCAGTTAGTCACCAAGGAAACCTTCTGAATTCAGGGCTTGGTTTACAGGTTTACTGTCACTGAAAAGGTGTTTTGGACGAGAGCACTTCCTTTCATGTAAAATGAGGAATTTGATTAGAGCGATGCAACATTTTCTTGTGCTGGATGATAGTAAACAGATAGTTTCTGCCTGTTGTGGACTCTTGACAAAGAAATGTCTAAACTACAATGATTGTTTTCTAATCTATTTTATTTTTGCCAAATGTGCATGATGTTAAATCAGGTTTCGGTGATGTGATATTTTTTTTTCTTTTTCTAGATTGAAATTTTTGCTAATTTTATACAAATCCACATGTTTAGTGTCTGTATGAACTAAGTAATATTTCTTTGTGTTGGTAAAACATTAATTTAATATAAAAGCTGCCAATTCTGAAACAAGCTGCATGTTTGGCTACAACTACACAACAGATTTGGCCTCCGAACTGAAACCCTGCCTCAGATTACTGACGTTTGATGTATAAAAAAAAAAAAAAAGCTGATTACAATCCAGAGAAATAGAATATTACTATACCCAGAGAACATGTGTCATTATTACGGGAATCGGTGACAGTTCACTGGATTAATAGTGAATAATCATGATGAGCACATGTTTGTTTCACTTGACCTGTGAGTCACCACCACTGCCTACTCACACACACACAGTAACTCAGATAAGTGGATTAAAAGGAATATTTAAATTGCCTGGAGTCGGCCTTACACAGGCACAGAAGACTTTGAGTCACCTTTTGAATTACATGTGACTAATTTTTTTTCTACTTGTTAAGTCGTGAAAGGTCAGATATATAGATGAGTCACAAATTAAAGGGGAAACCAACTTTAAAGGCTAACTTGTGTATATTTAAACCTGACCCTATTCTGTCATGTGTTTGTGTACAAGTGACTAATGGGAAGAACAGTTTTTGAAACTGGTCCAGTATAGCGAGAGGGCTGCAGCCAGCAGGGGCAAAGCAGGCTGAAGTGTAACCACTCGGGGCATTGCACACAGTCAGTTTAAGTTCTCCAAAAGTGCTGTTTTTTGCCACTGACAGCCTCAGATTGTTATGCTACATGTCTGACAACAATATGGGAAGTATCCCTGCAAAGTTGGACTTTTTTGTTTAGATGAAGATCCTATTTGTTTAACCAGACACAGCCCTGAATCACCCAGTTAGATTTGAAAATATGTTGGCACTATACATGCTAAAATTGGTGTTTCTTTCTTTTACGAGTCTGTTCCTGGTTAGACGAAAAGGATCCTTTCCATAATGTTGATTGACATTTAAGCAGGATTTATACTTGTACGTCAGCTCTATGCAGAGTCTATGACGTGGCCTATGCCATCGTGAGCATTTATACTTGTACGGTAGTTTGTCTGTGTCACTCTGCAGCTACACCTCCAAAACACTGGTCGGTGGCAGGTTTTCTGTGAAGTTTAGTTGATTCAAAACACACATTAAACATGGCTTAATAGTGACTATTCCAAACACAAATACACAAATTGGCTTCACTATAACACGCAGTATACACAGACAAACCATTTGTCTTTATCTGGCACATTTTCCCCATAAATACAACATGCTAACGTTATTAGCACAAGCCTATCCCATTTTACATTGTGTAAATTAGCCTAGCCGCTAGCGGGCTTTTCCTCCGCTCATATGAAGCTAGGATAAATCACACCTGAGACTTAAAAATGCTATTTTGTTGAGGCTTTGTCTTCAAAATGTATTGCTTTTTATCTGTGAAATAAAAGTAAACAAAAGCTTTGTTTCCACTGAGGGAAATGGTTTCAGCTTACAAAAATAGACAGATGGTCTGCATTGCCGTGAGGTGTAGTTATATTTCTGGGGAGGTGCTCCTCAAGTTTTGGCGTAGGGTACGACGTAGGCTCTATGTTGATGCAGATGGTGCACAAATGCCCCATGTGGTTACATTGTAGCTTGTTCCACTGCTGCTGGCTGCAGACTTCTCGTTAAATACTGGACCAAAATAAAAAATGTTGTTCCTATTAGTCACTTAGACACAAAAACATGGGAAAATAAGGTCCAGGTTTAAAAACACAATGTTACCCTTTAAGTGTTTCAGTGAGGTATTAGGCCACCACAAGCCTCCAGAACAATTTTGGTGCCCTTTAAAATAGAAGTCTGATGACTACAAAGGCCAGAGCACAAGTTTCGCAAAACGTTAATACTTTCCAAACCGTTTAGTCACCATTTCTTACGTCTCAATGCTCATTTCTTTAGCTTTTTCCCTTAAAATTTGTCATGCATCTGTAGAATAATATTTTTTTGTTTACTTGTGTGCTCCTGTGTAACGCCTTCTGTTTCCTCCACAATCATAGAGGGATAAATGAAATTGCATGCTGATCACTTCTCCATCTGGAAAGAATATGTTACAGTAATTCTGTTTTTTGTTTTTGCACATTCTTTAAATACTGTAAATAGCACCACATTTATTTACACTGATACGTTAATAAACTGGAGAATAAGAGTAGTTGTCATTTTTGGATGTAAACTACATTAACCTTATAAAAAGAGGACAAATGATGCAAACATTACACAATACTTTTATTAAATATTGTTAAAATACAGTGTTGAGCTGATATAAAACATTAACAAGTGAACTGACATGGGACGTATAAAACATCTGAAGAAACATTTGTTACAGGGCTCTGATATTTATTTACTAGTGTTCTGAATGGACCCTCCCTCTATAATAAGTGCTTTAATTATGCTCGTCGGTAGCTTGATAAACTGATAATTTGATTTACATATGAACATAATACACTCTTCTGGGGTAAGATGTACTTTCACTCCACTGCACACAATGAAAACCATTTTGCAGCAAGAAGAAAATAACCAGATAAAAAGTAACGCGTGTTAACGAAGGAGAGAAGTAATCGTCTCAAACCTTTCCAGTGCCATCGTTAGTAAAACATTCAGCATCAGTTGCTCAGGCTGGATGAAACGGAGCTCTTGCTGTCCGTCTCTGAGTCTGTCTCCTCGCCGCCGCTGCTGGCTGCTCTTTGACCTGCTGGTCTGGACCTGGATGTCTCCATCACACCTACAGGCTCTGGAGCTCCTCTGCTCTGGCAAGCTGTCTGTCCACTCACTGACGAAGGGCTGCTTATCAATGAAGGGACGCTCTGCAAAGAGAGAGATTATTACAACAGTCAGCAGAGGTGTTTTTTTAAATAGAGCCAAGAGAAAGTGAAAGAGGCTTTGCTTTTTCTAAATTTGCACAATGAGTGAATATTATATACATTGAAAAGTATTTCATGTCTCCATCTGCTGGTGGATTAGAGTATGCATGCATAGTATGATGTTAATTCCACTACAGAGATGTGATGATCACTAAATTAGGTAGGGGAAAAAAGTGATTAATAGTTTGTAAATTCTTGTATAACCTAGTGTTAAAGGCCAAGTGTTTAAATGTAACCTACCAGTGTTTCCTGACTCCTCATCAGCTCCTCAATCTCATCATTCCAGCCGAGCATTTCGGCAAACCTCCGCACTGTATCCTCCAGGTCACCCAGCTCAACGCGGTCTCCTCTTCGCAAGGGGACCTTCTCAAAGGGACCCACAGCGTGTCGGTTCAGGAGGAGCCGTGGCACAGTGGAGCGCACTGTGTTCACCAGGCTGGCGAATGGCTCAATCTGAAACAGTGAATTTTTGTTTGAGCTCAGGGTTTATCTGCTCACAAAATGTACTAGAACCCATTTTAGGAACTGAATGCAGATATCAAAAATATTTACCTGTAAAGATGTGCCCATAATGATCAGCAGGTCGGCTTTGCGGAAGTCTTTAGTGTGGAGGAAATACTTCTGAGGGAGGTCCTCGCCAAAAAACACAACGTCAGGTTTGACTGTTGCAGCGCAGAATGTGCATATGGGGACGTTATCGTTCATTATGGCATGCTGCGAAACAAACACATGAGGACAGCATTACATCAACATCAAATGCTGCAAATTATTATATTGAATTAGAATGTTTTTTTAACAAGGGGTCAGACATACCTTAGCCTCCTCTGCAGGGTATGCAGTATAACACAGGTGACAGGAAGCTGTGGCAAAACTACCGTGAGCTTCCACAAGCTTTTCATCTGGGATGCCACACACTGTGAAAAAAGTTATTGAATATTATAACAGACATCAAGAGCAAACAAGAAAGTTAATTCTGGGAAATAAAACAGAAGTGTCAAGTTGTGCAACTACTGGTCATGAAAAAGAGACACTGCACAAATCCAGTGTGCCTCCTGGTGGTGCGTTCACAGACATACTGTACATAGGAATACTATCATATTTACATTACAGAGTTTAATTTCTTAGTATATTTTTTCCCTTTAAAATCTCACTTACGTTTCTCCAGTCCATCGATGTTCTGAGTGTACATTCGGAGCAGCAGGCCTTTGTGATGAAGCATGCGGATGAAGTAGTGTATGTAGTTTGGTCGGTGACGTCCGGGATACAGAGCCTTGGCCAGGGAGAAGAAGGGCTGCGGGTCGTTGGAGAAGTAGTCGATGTTGAAAATAGCTTCTGGGTAAGGGATGTTGTACTTCTCCAGGTTGGCGTAAAGACCTGTTCCTGGAGTCCTGAAAATGTGAAGAGACATTTTGACATTATGGTGATGCTTTCAGTAAAGAGCAGGTAACAGTGAGTCTGGACAGTTTCTATATTCACTGAACAGGTTTACACTTCAGGTAAAAAGACTCAGCAATAGTAACGCGACGATGGAGAGGAGGGCGGAGAGAACAAAATTCGACAGACACCAACCTGAAGTCTGGGATGCCGCTGGCTGTGCTGATTCCTGCTCCGGCCACCACCACCACGTTCTTACAGCGGCCGAGCTTCACCAGCCGGGCCACAGAGGCCAGACCACCCCGGGATGAGGACTTAGCAGCTAACGCAGATGGACTGTCCTGACCAGAGGTGGACCCAGAGGAATGAACAGCCAGAACAGGGTCACTGCTACCTTCAGACATCTGTCCTTCACTGGAGAGCAGGACAGGAAAAGACACATACACACAACTTGATCCATATGTGACATACCTGACAAAATTACCTGCAACAAAAATGATTTTATATTAAACAGTTTATGTATAACCAAGAGACATAATCTCTTTACAAAGAGTTTTTTCAGATGAAGATTAGATTGTTTTGGGGCGAGCTGCAGAGTGGTGGAAATATCTGCCATAGAGATGTCTGCCTTCTCTTGAATATAACAGAACTAGATGGCTCTCGGCTTGTGGGGCTCAAACCACCAAAAAATGTAATAATAATAATAATAATAATAATAATAAACTTTATATATATGGCACCTTTCAAAACACAGCTACAAAGTGCTGTACAATAAAACTTAACACATTTGAAACACAAGGGGAATAAAACAAATAACATGTCATAAAATGTCAGCTAGTAAAAGATAAAATAAGGCCAAAGGTAAAATCAAGATAATAAATGGGAAATAAAATCAATAAGATAGCAGAAAAATAGACAGAAAGCTCAGATAAAGTCAGGATATGTTTTTAGGAGAGACTTAAACGAAGCCAGTGACTCAGACAGCCTTATATCCTCGGTCAGGTCATTCCAGAGCCTTGAGGCCCTGGTTGCAAAAGCTCTGTCCCCTTTGGTCCTCAGCCTGGACTCTGGGACAAGCAGAAGACCTCTGCCCGAGGATCTCAAACTATGCAGAGGTAACAGGTCTGAAATGTAATCTGAAACTGCCCAACTGCATCACCGCGCAGAAGGAAGCGTGCATCTACTCATGGATGAGAGGCTCATGACAACACGAGATGTAAACATTAATGGCGTCCTCCTCGGCTGAGCTGTAACGTTAGCTAGCTCAGTGGTGCTAGGTGAGCTAGCAGTAGACACATTGCTTCCACTCCAATCTGGGGATTTGTACCTGTTGCATGTATGTTCAAGTGTGCGTATATGTGGGTATTTGTGTATACGTATGTGCATGTACTTACTAATAATAATGATAAACGTGTTTTTTTCTGTTTGTTAATCGCTGATCTTGGTATTACAGTGTGACCTCCTGCTCTAATTCATCTTCTCATATCATACATTTTAAAAAAATCAAGTAAAGGTTACTGTAATATGTCCGCACCTTATGGGTAAACCGTCCTGTCCACTCACACTCATCTGACTGAGGTCCTGGGCCAAAGCAGAGTCTGTCTGCTTCCTTCGCTGCTTTCCATACAGACCCGACCCAGAGTCCTCCTGGGTCTCTGCGGGGTCGTTGTGCCTGGTCTGAGAGCTGGAGCTACGGGTCATCCTGGACCTGGACCTGTTCATTCCCACACCTGCTGACAGCAGGAATAAAAAAATCATTCAGCCTAAATTAAACATCAATCACTGTAAAACAGGTTTCCTTTCCTCTGAGCTATCAGGACAAAGTGAGACTGTTTCCAAATGACGTTTAAATGTCAGACATGAAAACATGTTTTTGTTGTGCAAAATAGAAAATATTTTAATTTCCCTTTTTTTTTTTTTAAAACTGCATTAATTATATACCGACTTGTTTTCAGTGATTTGCTCTGCCTCTGTCCCATATTTAAAAAGCTGTTACACTGAAATCATCCTTTTCTCTTCGCTCCCTTTGCACATAGACAGGCCGAAATGTTTTAAAACTGTCAACTGTTGAACAAAAGGTAATGGCTGCAATATATATTTAGCGCACCCCCCCCCCCCCCCCCCCCCCCGCTCCTCAGCAGCTATGCTAATACAGTCCACAGCTGTGGCAGCTTTACTGTTGAGGGAAAGTGGAGGGTAAGGCGGAGGGGTGAGGGGGTGTGAGAGTTAAAAAGAGGGGTGGCAGAGGTGAAAGGGAACCGTAGATTGACTGTGTGTCAACAAACCCAGCTGGGAGAGAAAAGAGGATGCCCCCTAACGGCCCCCTCAAACTGAGGAAAAGGGAGAGAAGGGGGGGTCCAGAGATAAATGATACGGAGGCGGGATTCAATAAAGAGGGAACAGAGGAGTAGAAGAAGAAGAAGAGGAGGAGGGGGGGCTTCTTTTCCAAAGCTATTCTAGGCCTTCAAACAACTTCCATGAGGAATGAGTGTGAGTGATCAGGGAGAGGCAGCGGACAAGGAAACAAAAGAGCTACAACCCATAAAACATGACTGCTTCAGAGGGCAGCAGGGAGATAAGACCAGCTTTTCTCCAGCAGCACCTTATCGCCCTCCGGAGGGGACGGGAGAGGAGGAGAGGGGTCACTGAAGGCTTACAGAGCAGCCAAAAACATTAAAAAAAAAAACATAGCAGCCTTTGGGACGATGTCACCTTAAAGCTTTAACATTAACATTCTAAAAAAAGTATTATTACCAAGTTAAAACTGATGCAAGCTTCTAACAATGGTAGATGACCCTTTGAACCATCTTAAAAATCTCACATTCTCCAAACTACTTTCATTTTCTGCACTCAATCTTCTCTCACTTTGCCTCCTTGAAGGCTGAAGCCCCCACATTACTACTGTTTTCTTCTCCCTGCACATCCTAAAGAACTATTAAAAACAGCGGGAGGGTGAGGGTCTCAGCTTTTGTCTGGACTCCTCTCAAAAAGACACTGCTGAGTACAGGCAATAAATCACCAGCCCAGTTATTAAGGTCTCACACAGATGGTGCAGTGTACGTCAACACTAGGGACTGTGGGCGATTAGTTGACTAGTCGATTAATGTTGCTACTCTGACTAGTCGGTACCAGAAATACTAGTTGGTTAAACCTATTATTAAAACTACTATTATTTTATGTGACTGTGTTCACCCAATGAAAGACTTCTCTTCCTAAAGAATATCATTTTCAGTTCATGTTATTCACTAACTTTTATTTAGTGAGTTGTTGTCTTGTTTGTAAGACTATGTGCAGTGTTCATAATGCACAGTGCAAAGTGTAGCACATTTCAGCGGCATTTAAAGTACGATTTTGGTTACTGAAACGTGATTAACGATTTCAAATGGCACTTTAATGCAGTAATGTTTTGGACAATGTTTAATCTTATTGATTAAATTGCGCAGAATTTTTTCTCTTTTCTGAGTTTTTTCTTACTTCTACACTACTCCATTAGTCAAAGTTTGAACTTTTTTTAACCCTTTGAAACCTGGAGCAACATCAATTTACTTGTGCTGCTTTCAGATGCCTTTCACAAGTATTTAAACCTTTGAACTTTGAGCAAATTGGTGCAATTTCTTTCAAAACACGGGGAAAAAGGCAATGAGCAACTTGGTAAGACATGTCCCACAAATTGAAAATATATATATTAAAAATGTATTTTAAAAAACTAGGGGAAAAAAGAAAAAAAGCTGCAGAAAAACTACATTTATAATTACATTTTAAAGTAATGTATTTATATTTTAATTTTCAAGCACTTTTCTAGGTCCTTTCTGTATTTGTTTGTTTTTAACTTTAGTTTCCTTTGTTTGTTTGTTTTTAATATAAACTAATTTTGTTGTTTTTAATTTTCTCGTTTTACCAATTTATGGCTAATTTTTTTGGTCATTTCTTCTTTCGCTCCTATGTTTTTGAACAAATCAAGCCAATTTGCTCAGGTTTCAAAAGGTTAATCAGAGATTAGTTGTTGGGAACGCCCCTGGTTAAAATGCCTTCTTATCATACCTGGAGAAATTACACTTTAAGAAAAAGTCATGCACACAAATGACGTAAAATAAAAAATAAAGTACACAAAGATACATAAAAGAAGTCTAAAGAAACCTAACAATCAGTGTGGCTGCAGAAAACTGTGGTGCGGCAGCAGCAGGGTTACAAACAGTCAAAACAGGAAAGGACGTTGTTGACAAAATGGAGGACACTTCAGCAACTAAAACAAATTAAAATGATTTAAAGTTATAATAAAAATCATCCCTTGTACAGGTGCACAAAAGTTATTTTTTATGACATCAAACTGCTTTTCAGTGTTTTAAATGCCCACTTTTTTATCTGATAGAGGCCTAATTGTGCCACAAACACCATTATCATTCTTTAATGACAAATAAATCCCTGTATAAATGACAAAAGGCTTAAAAAGGATTACTTGGCCTTTCACACTGCTTGTTCTCGCAGCTCTCCCCAGTCAAAAAGCTGAGTGTGTACCAGTACCGGACCACCAGCAGTGTCGCTGCTCATATGAGGGTTACAGTTATCTTATTAGGACAGTTCTACAACACAGGGCACACCTCAGTGGTCACCAGTAACCCCCCAAAAAGCCAGGCTAATGGATAATCCCTTTACAGCTCCAGAGGCTGGGACCAGAAGACAAACACCAGCGAAGAGCAGTGGGAGGAAAATGCGACAGCAGATTCTCCTCAACATTTACTGCTCACTGAGGAACAGGAGCTCCTGTCTGTAATGTTACAATAATGTGACATAGGAAAAAGCCCAGAATAAAAAAAATTAAAAATGAGACAAATAAATTAAATAAGATAATTTCTACTTTGAAAACAACTGTTTTGATACATATTATAACTTTAACAATATATGATTCCTGTTTGTAAACTCTTTTCAGGTTGATATAGTTGACGGGAATGACTTTTTTAAAATTAAATTAAACTATTTTTTTAACTAAACATTTGCTCTGTAAAATGTCAGAAAACAGTAAAAAATGCCTATGACAACTTTCCAAAGGCCAAGGTGATGTCTTGAAAATTTGAAATTACTTGTTTTGTCCAACCCACAATCCAAAACCTGAAGTTATTTAGTTCATAATAAAATAAAACAGGGGAAAAGCAACAAATTGTCACATTTGAGAAGCTTAAACCAGCAATTTTTAGCATATTTTGCTTTGAAAAACTTCAATAATCATGTCAAACCTCTGACACCTGACTTTTTTAAGATAATTGATTAAAAGGACATTCTTGGCTTTTTATTATTTTCCTTATTGTACGCTCTTATGTGTCTACATATTTTAATGTAATGTGCAATTATGGGAGGCCAAACTTCTACAAACATTTTTACTTATTTTATTATTTTTTTCCCTTTACCTCTACCTCTCTGGATGTGTACTTACAGTATATTATAGCACTTTTTTCATAGTCATTCTTGAAAATGGAGAGAAATAAATTACGCGTCAATCTAAATGAAACCAAGGCTGAGAGATTATATAAAACTATTTAAAATTACAAAATCATTATCTCTGAAAAACCTTGTTTTTCACTGCTTGTATATCCATTTGTATCGACTGTGAGTGTAATAACACTGCATTTCAAAATACAAAATATTTTTAAAAAAAGAGAAAAACTAAAATAATCATTAAAATTGTTGTTGATAAATTGTCTGTCAATTGACTCATCTATTTTTTTTCATCAGGTCTACTTATTGTGAATTAAAACAAACTAGAATTTGAACAACAAAAGCAGTATTTTAGAGATTTGTTTCCACTGTGTGGTCCAGTGCTATGAACTTATAACCCTTTACTAAACTGAAATAAACAGTCAACACATCCAAACCCTCTGTCACTGTCAGCAGCAGCAGCCTGAAGCTGTGGACAGTCCCGTCTCGAGAGTTAAAACCATGTACCTGCTGCCTCTTGACTAAAACGTCACGTCAGCTGTGTCTTAAAGGAGATTTGGTTAAGTTTAATGAGGGGCTTTTCCCCTGCAACCCCGGCGTTTAACCCTCCACTTACAGCAGAATTGAGGACAGCTGACTTTGATCTCTGCTGCCCCCCCGACACACGGATGGCAACAGGCAGCCCGGTCGCCAAGGAAACCTCTTCATTACTTAGTTGGAGAGGCAACAGCTCTATGTCGTCCTTCCCCACCTGCTCACTAATGACATATCACTCTGTGTAGCATCTTTGTTGGACTCTCAATCTGACACAAAGCAGCGAGCCCTAATTTGTGTTAGTTTATTGTTTGCTCACACGGAGGCGGAGGAGGGCGGTGGAGAGCTAATGCTGCCCAGTGGTTTGATGGCTAACTAATGTCTCTTGTCCTGTTACTTCTCGAAGGACTCACCAGCCCCAAATTAAACACCAATCTAACAATAATGGGGTGTGATGTTATTTGTACAACCGTGTAGATTCTTTGAGAGAACAGGATCTGAAAAACAGACACTGAGCACAGGTCCACTCTCACCCTGACAAAAATGTCAAGCCATAACTCATGATACTAGAAAGGGCTGAGTGATGTGGAGATAATCAATTATGTTGATATTTTTTGACCAAACATTGTCACAATATTGTAAGGTTTACTATTGTTTTTGATAAATAATCATCAGTAATGTGGATGTAATGACTAAGTGGGTAAAAGCAAATATTAGAACAGTCTGATAAGTTCAGAAAAATAATTCACTTTACTGTGATGCAGCCTTGAAAACCAGGAGACGAAAATATTTAAGATATATCTAAATAATATGATAATAATATATTGTCCTGCCGTAAAACTACACATACAGACATACAACAGAACAAGACACAGAAAACAAAAAATATATGCTGCCCAGTTAATTAAAGATATTCAGGGCTGCATCACACCACTATTTTTTTAATAAATTAAGTAACTGTTTAGTCTAGAAAATGTCAAATGTTGACTGTTTTGTAAAACACACTGATATTTATTGATATGTATATATATATATTTCAATCGTATAAAGCAAGGATGCTCAACTTGCTTTGCATGGGGGCCAGTTATTAAATAAACATTAATAATTAATATATGAATAATATAGCTACCTCTGTCGGGGGATCGGGGGGATCCTCCCCTGGTACTTTATTCTTTTAAATAAACAAGCTGCATGTTGATGCTTTTTAAAAATGCACTCTGGCACCCCATTTACAATAAAAGAATCAAAAAAAAAAAAAAAATCTGTGAATCAGTTCATTTTTGTTGAGAATTAAAAAATGGTCAGCGGGTCACCCAGCACCCAAGGGCCACATTTGGCCTGTGGGCCACAAGTTCAGTATCACGGGCATATGGCAAACAAAATTCACAAATCCTCTTATTTGAGAAGCTGAAACCAGCAAATGTTTTGGTCATTTATGTTTGAGAAATGCCTTTAAAGCTAAAGTTGGTAACTTTTATGAAAATAACCTTTTGTCATATTTGCTGAAACTGTCACTATATTCACACAGTCGTACATGTGAAAAACATCATGTTCCTCTTCCTCCTCCTTATAGTGATTCTGATAGCATTTGCTGTTAATCACTGACTCATGAACTGCAGTCAAAATAGGCATATGAATCAAGATTCTGTTGCTGCATTGCCTATCTCTATAAATGTTTTCAGAAACATATTTAAGTGTACCGCTCCGGCCTGGTGGCAGCGCTTGGTTTTTGCTCTACTGTTTTCAACATGGCGGCCGGGTCTCGGATTGTTTTCTCAAAGATTATAATTCTCCTTTAGTTCTGTGTGAAAACAGTGACACTTTCAACAACTGTGACAAAAACATTTTTTTTTATAAAAGTTACAAAATACAGCTTTATCACAACAAACTGGTTACCAAAATTGTTTCCTGAAGATGGGTTTTAGCTGTTGATCGAATGATTAATCGACTAATCAAAGAGTTATACTAAGAATGGGCCTTTAGAAAGCACAATAGTTTTAACCTTTTTAAATATAAAATGGGGTCACAGGGGGGCTGGAGCCTATCCCAGCTGACATTTGGGGAGAGGCAGGGTACACCCTGGATAGGTCGCCAGACTATCACAGGGCTCATGGAAAATGAATGAATGAATGAATAATTGAACATAAAAAGGGCCATTACCTAGCCTGTCAGCAAGGCATGTCATTGAGGACACATCAGTGTGTCTAACTGTGTGTGACCTAATTCAGATTTTTAGAAAAACAAGAAGAAGAATCACTTTTGGTTGTGCAGAGCTGCAAGAATTACTTGCAGTCAGTCTCAGATCTCACAGAGGAGTTACTAACAGTGAGGCTACAGTGGCACCTGCTGGGACCAAAATCTCATTACACACAAGGTATCTACAGGTGTCAGGCACACTTTTTAAGACCTTTACGAGATAATTTTTAACTGAAATTAAGACAGATTTTTGGACAAATCATCTTTTTCTTATTCAAATATTGCAGGTAAGTATAAAGGTAAGTAGCATATATGTGGTCCTGTGCAGAGGCAGGTTTTATGTAGGAATATGGTTATTATTAGAGTAAGTTAGGTCAAGTTTGTGCAACTATAAAGTAAAAAGCCAGTATTAGGGTCAGTGGTTTGAAGATTTGTATCTGTATTTGTAAATGTGAACTTTCATACAAAACAGCTTGACTCATTTTGAGAAAAATATATTAAAAGATGGATAAATTACATTAAATATATAATGCTTGTGTCAATTAAGACCTTACAAATTCAAATTAAAGAAAATGTAATAACCTTTAAGGCCTATAATTTATAAAACTGAATTTGATACATTTTTAGACTTCAAAGGACCTGCACACAGGCCATGCACATGAAAACTATCAACCCATACACTGTGCTAACTGTAACAGACTAACATAGGATGGAGCCATTCATTATGTAATCTGTTATAAATCAGTTTACCGAAGTGCAAGTAGATTCATTCATGGGCAGATCAAGAGAAAGTTAATTAGAAATCTTATAACTGAGTAGAATTTTTGTTTTCTCTTTCTCATTTGTAAATGATTATAAAATGGCTAGCATTATGTTGTTTTAGATGCAGATTAAACTGAGTAATAAGTCTTGTGATGGACCTCATAGTTTGTTTTTTTAACATCACATACAGCGGTATTGTACATTTTATACATATTCATAAGACTGAATAAGCCACTGAATTAGGAGAACCATCTGCATCTGGGACATTTACTGAGTACAAGCATTACTGGATCTGGTTATACTAAAGATCCCCTCCAGACATGTTTTACAATCCAGAGTCTATGAAAATACAAGATGTCTCCCCTCCACTCTCAGTGTATTTGACCTAGAGCCTTTAAAAGGACAGTTCACCCCAAAATAAAAGTACATATTTTCCTTCTTACCTGTGGTGCTGTTTATCAATCTAGATTGTTTTGGTGTGAGCTGCAGAGTGTTGGAGATATCGGCCATAGAGATATCTGCTTTCTCTACAATATAATAGAACTAGATGGCACTTGGCTGGTGGTGTTCAGAGTGCCAAAACTATACATCTGAACTCAAAACTCAGCAGCAATGTCTCTTTCCAGCAAACATGACCCGGTTACACAAGCAGTTTCATGTAGGAACTATTTTATTTCTACTGAACTACACCCACTAACTGAAGAATTGCGCAGAAGGAAGTGTGCATCTAGTGCAAGACGAAAACATTAATGGCGTCCTCCTCAGCTCAGCTCTAACGTTAGCTGGCTCAGTGGCGCTGGGTGAGCTTCCCTCTGCACGGTGATACAGTTGCTGGGAGTTACTTAGTAGAGAGGAAATAGTTCCTACATGAAACTGCTCACAACACGGTCTGTGGATTATCTTACATAACCAAGTCCTGAGTTTTTGGAAAATGACATTCCTGTTGAGTTTTCAAATGTATTGTTTTGGTGCTTTGAGTACCACAAGCCGAGGTCCACATAGTTCCATTATATTCGAGTGGTATTGCACAGGTAAGAGAAGAATGTGTATATTTGATTTTGGGGTGAACTGTTGCTTTAAGTATCCACATCACACTTGTTTAAGTTGCATACTGAACAATGACTGGCTGTCAAACTAGTTGTGATGTCACAAATCCTGCTCTTACTACACCTACACCTCTTAAACAAGGATTTCAGGTGAGTACAAACAAACTTTCACCTTCAGTAGCTAAATGTGAAACAGTCCTCTAGTGTCAAACTAATCAGGCAATCGTTTTGTCAATGAAAAGTCAGAAAATGATTTAAAATGTCAATCAGTGTTTCACAAAGCGAACATACCCTGTGTAATTCCCCAGAGACAAAGGTGACTTCTTCATATGGTAGATTTTGTCCAACCAGCAGTCCAAAAATCAAAACTATTCCATTGAGTATTATGTATGACAAGGAAAAGCATTAAATTCTCACATTTAAGAAGCATCAACCAGCATATACTTGGCTTTTTGCTTAAATAAATTACTAAAACAATTATTTGACTATTAAAATAGTTGCTACCCATTTTCTGTCTATCAACGAATCGATTAAATGACTTATCACTGCAGCTGTATTACACAAACCCCTCTGCAGTGAGGCACAAACCCCCAGGTGACACAACAACAAGAACAACATATATTTGACTGGAGGGGGGCTCTGCAGGAATCACTGCCATTGTTATTAAACGGTGGAGCTCCACATCCCCAGACCTCTAATCATAATAATAATAATAACACATTAACGTTATATTAATATTGCTATTAGCTACCTGTCTCTCTAGACGGCGGAACTTTTGAATGCTGACCAGACGGCGACGACACACTGCAGACTCTGTTGGGCCACTCGGTTTGTTTCACATCCAAAAGGAAACCAAACGTCTTAATCTCTAAACTCTTATAATCTACGAGCCTCTGCAGTCAGGAAACATCTGCTCCAGTCGCAGTAACAGTGTCTCCTCTTCTCAGACACATGCACTTTATCTACATGCAGCCTGGAGGGGTGAGATTTAGGGAAAGAGACGTCACTCTGCCGCTGTTTCCGGGTACTAAATAAGTCATTACGAATACAGGCGGGAAACAAGAGCTGGAGTCACGTGGTGCTCTGTTTCCGCTTTCCAGTACCCACTGTACCCATACTACCATACTATATAGTGTGCCAGAAAATGATTTAGTACGTCCCAATATATAGTATGTCAAATGCAGTTTGCCAAAAATGCCAGGATGTCCAACTACATCCGGTCTGATTTTGCAGCATGCAAGCCAGCATGCTGTTCTGGTTATCCTTTCCCACAATCCTTTGTTTTATCCCCATGGTAACGGATATATGAGCAAGAGGGTAAAAGTTGAGGGTGTAAGAGAGTGTATGAGGAACTAGTATGGTCACTTGGGTGCATACTGCACGCAACAGTGCATACTTTTTAAGGGCAGCTGCAGTATATAGCCTACTAAAAGTAAAAAGAAAAAGTATGCGATTCAGAACGCACCCCCTGTGTCAGATAGGACTCAGTGATGGGGAGACATATTGATATATTTAAATGTTTTAAACCTTTTTAAATGGTCAAGTATTTATACTTTCTCCAAAATATGGTCAGTTTCTCCAGGAGAGTCTGTCATAGTACCTGAAGGTTCAACAGCAAGTGCTTCCCTCCCGAAAAAACTTCTGTGCAATGCATTACCAGTAATCATATAGGCCTATAAGTTAACATTATTAAAGATAAAACATAGAGTGCCTCAGGAATGAGTCCTAAAATCTGGAAATGAGTAAGCATCTTACCATTCTTGGTTCTCTCATCATGAAGTAAATGGGTTTTTGGTTAGACACCTGAAATAAGGTCTGTGGTTCACACAAGCTTAAGAGACTTTTACGTGTTGTTTATTGACATGAAATAAGTCAGTGCCCCACTCGTTTATTTTGAAGCTTTTATGTCTCTTAATGGCGGTTGCTATTAAGTTGCTAACTGAGATTATGGAACGTCATCACCCCAACCATGGCTGACGTTGAGTCATACAACATTGGTCATAAAAGTGGTGTTTATTTGTGGAGATTGTCATGTTGTACATAAGATGTATCATAAACATTTGTTTGCCACAGAGCTTATTTTCTGCAGTGATCCAAAATCCAATAGAAAATTCCCACAGGCTTTTTGATGAAGGATGGTGGGTGATGCTAACTCCCATGTTGGCCTACAGAAAAACATCATCCCTGAAGCACTCTATTTATTTTAATGCATTGAATCAGCTTCTCACTTGTATGTAGGTAGGCTATGTAAGCTCAATACAATGTTATAGAAAAGTCACTGACCAATGATCTGTCGTTGTTTAAGGGGCAAGTACAGGCCAACAGGAAAGCTGCTCGGCCTTGCAGCAAATTTTTCCCAGTGGCCACTGCGGGTTTGCAGCAAAAAAAATGCCCTGTGGCACAAAAAGCATTTTCCCCATAGACCACCACTGTAAAAGAGACGTCTGTAAAACTGTTGACAAGACACATCCAACTGTAGACAAGGTCAGTTATGACTCTCAACACTTTTTATGTTTGTAAAACTTTTCTCAGCCTTATAAAAGTGATTTAAAAATCTGTGACATCATCACAATGTAATGTTCATGAGCTGAGTGGTAACTCGCAGGAAAAACATTATTGTGCATATTCAGTGGGCTGCAGGAAACTAGAAAATTATATTGCCGTATGTGCCAGGTGAGCAACTCCATTGAAATGAATAAGCACCATCTTGGGTATGTAGTTAGTATTAAAGTCTATGGGCAAGTAACAGACGTCCCAGTTACCTCCGCAGCCTGGTGCTGTATTCATGTGGTGTCAGAATAATTTGAAAAATGAATTCCCAATCATATTTCTTTGCTCACCTGATCTGTTCCCTTTGTTTTCCCTTATTAACAATTTGTTTAACCACTCTGAGCAATGAAACAACACATCTTCTTTGAAGTGTTGATGTTGCTTCCACATTAAACATTGAGCACATCCAATTACCAGTTTCAGATGCAGCAAAACGGGACAACGATTCTCTACACATCAAAAGAAAAAAAGCATCACTCACAGCTTTTAAAAACAGTGTTCAAAGTAACTCATGAGTCAGCAGAAAACCTCAGCTTCCTAGCAGTAGGCTAAAACAAAACATAGAAATGAAAGCTTCAGCTGCAGATGACAAATATTTACAATGGAAGAACAGGCTGTACAAAATTCTACAAACAACTGCAATATTTTTTTTACATCATGACAAGGCCTCTTCTTACCCCAAGCATACAAGCATGGCTTTGAACACAGTGAGGTCACAAGTATGACCATCCTTGGAGCACATGAATGCACCATTGACCTTGGCTGGCGGAGGTCTCGCTTCCGTCTGATTGAATTGGTCCTTGTTTACTCATTCAGTGCTGTTGTTGCCGCACTACATTAGGTGTTCAGTGCACGATGGCACCCTAAAAATTAAGATCAGGTCAGAACTAGAATGTGCAAGTCCAGACAGTGAGACCAGGACATCCCTTCAGCTCATAATATTTGAGTAACTTTTTAAATGTGACTATTCATTGCAAACCACATCAAAAACTGCCTAATATGTCAGATTTGTCAGGTGTAGGATTTACCCTGCCTCTTGACCAGTGACAGACACAGGTCTGCTCTATACAACTAGTAGTCAGTACATGTAGTAATGAAGGGAACTAACCATTTCGAAGTGCCTTAGTGATGCTGCCCAGAATTATCTGCAAATAATAAGATTACCACAGCCCAAACCCAGCCTTGTCTACGTGCTTTTATTTTATTATATTTTATTTTATTTGTTGCTTTCCCCATGAAAATACTTGTAATTTCTACCGGGGTATTTGATATTGGCCTATTTAAAATACTACAATGTGACGTCTCCTTCTTCAAGAGACGATCTTCGATTTAGGATCAATAGGATGGACGTCACTTCCGCTTTGAGGGGCGGATGTTCTTTTGGGGGGGTATTTGGATCAGTGTCATCTCCCGCCAAAGTGACGGTTAGGGACCCCAAACAAAATTAACCTTCATCATATGTTATCCTTTTATTTCTATCCTCACATGCATCACAACATCCTGCACAAATTCCCTAACATCCTGACAAAACTGTTCCTAATTATCACGAAAACAATTACAATTATGTATAAATAAAAAAGAAAATCCTCGTGTTTGTTCGTGAACTAAAACATTAAATAATAAAACAATAACCCAGGCAGTAATAACTACTTTAATGTGTATGCATGAGGTCATAAATAGCAGAGGCAGCCGGCAGCTGGAGCTCCATCCCGCAGACAGTGTGAACCTCTGTGTGTTTATATGGGTGGAGACTAAGGTCCTCCTCCAAAATATAGCCAGAGACAGACAACACAAGTCAGCTCCACCAGCAGCAGCTCCATGATTACAGGCCGTGGGAGCGCTTAAACTCAGGTAGTTTGAGGTCCTTCACGTTACTGCACAGCACAGCACATTGGATCAGTTTGATAACGACACAAAGCAAGGTAAGTGCTCAGTTACAGTTTGGGGTTCAGTTGGTGTCAGCCATGAGAAGTTGTGCACAACAACAAAAAACGAGCCATTTTATCCTTTAAACCACCTTCAAAGAAACTCCTCTCGACTATTATTGTAACTAAGAGGAGGAAACTTCAATAAATGTCGATGATTAAGTGTGGAAAAAAGTGATGTTTAGTGTTTTGGGGGAGACGTGACGTGTCTGGATGCCTCAGCTACAAGATTGAACAAATAAGCTAATTATGGCGACTAAAAGCAAAACAACCTCACACTTGGGCGTGTTAAAGACAAGTTGGATATGTTTTAGCTTTAAAAGTGAGATGGAAACCGTTTTATAAAATTAAATTGCGAAGTAAGTCGCCAACTTTTAAGCTAGTGTCCGTGTTTTTAACTCTAGGTTAGCATAAGTTAACGCGGTCTGCCACGAAACAAACAGTGACGGTTAGCTAACGTCACTTAGCATAAGTTTTACACTGTACTCAATGGTGGGGCCGTTAGCCAACTGCTACTGTAACGTTATGCTAACCTAACACGGTGATAATGGTGTTTACTGAGCAGTTGCAGCTGCTAAACACGTCCCTTTGTTCATCTCTGACCTAATAAAACGCCATGACTGAATAACACTTTCCCCGGAGCATATTTCACGACTTCCTAACAAAGCACCATTTATTCTCATGAGCAGAAATAACATTACAGGCTAACAGATGACATTAAAGCAGCCAGCAAAGCTTTTAATGTAGGTAGCAATTTGTGACATCATGTCTACTTTGGGGATATGGAGTTTGTTTTATGTTTTTGCACAAGTTAGATCACAAAAAAATGACAAAAATAAATAGTTTACATCGCAGGAAGAGGCTGAAAACACCCAAAACACATACATTAGCATACAGAAAATAATATAAAAGTGATAGCAAACTGATAACATGACATATAAACTGTCAGTGTATGCTGTTAGTGTTTCCCAAAGTCCAGCAAACTACCCAAATATGTAACATTTTTGGTTTTCAGCATCAGTTGTTTTAAGTTTGTAAACTATGCCCTTGTTATATGTTTTCACTAGGGGTGTGAGAAAATAATAGAAAAAGAAGAATACAATAGGAAAAACTTTATTCATCCCCAAAGGGAAATTTCCAGCAGCTCATAAAAGACAGAAAACAACCACACTTCCCCTCATCGACAACAACACAGTGGTATTAAATAGACATCAAATAAAACAAGTTAAAATAAGTGCATAAATAGAAATTAGAATTTAATTAAAATAAAATTGGACAGTCCAGTCCAGTTGTTGCTAATGTGATGTGTGTGTGAATGTGTGTGTGACTGGATTCGGGAGGTGCTTAATGATACTCTTGAGTATCTTGATTTTGAATTGTGTTCATATTTTTCCTCAACACGTGACTTCCTTTTGCTAAAATTATCCAAAAAGTAGTGCCATGAGCTGTTGAATGTTACAGGGACTATTAAATACTAATGCAGATCCCATGTTCTTTATACAGTGACAGTTGTGTTAAAATTATATGAAAAGAAAT